CTACAATGCTTGATAAGAAATGTACTCATTATCTTGCCCATGTAATTGTAACCCCTCTGTACAATATTTTCACAATAAAAAATAAATAAAAATTTAAAAAAAATTGAATGTGTTCTTCTGGTCCAAGAGAAATTTTTAAATGGTAGGTGATATAACTATTCTATATTTGAACAGATCTGATGGCTAATAAGCTTTTTGGTTGATTCTCCATAGCTTCCCTGTACTTGGGTACCTTGAGACACCTTTTTCCTCTGGCAGGACAGCATTACAGCTTCCCCCCTCCCCCCAGCAGTTACACCATGGGCTTATATAGTATTTTTCAGACAAACTAAATATCCTGGTTTTCTTTCAGCCAGCCATCATGTGATGGTCATACATATGATTTCCTCAGAGAAGCCTTTGCTACCTGGTAATCTTCCCTTGCTCAGGGCTCTGATGGCCTCTCTTTCATAGCACTGACTATACACTGATTTATTGAGATGATCAGTGTCATCCTTCCTGTTTGACTATATACTGCATAAGGGTGGAGCCAGACTGGGTAGGCTCATCCTTGGAGCCCAGTGTGCAGCTGTAACATGTGCCACGTACTAGGTGACCATCCAATAGGATTTTCTGGAGCCTCAGGTAAAAGCACAGTGAGGAGGACTCCATAGGGCCTTAACTCTACACGTCTGCTTCTCAAGATTCAGAGAAGCTGTGCCTGGAGATTCATCTAGTTACAGGATCCTTGTGGCAGAACAATATGGATAGGCAAATAGCTTTGGCCTGTCCTGGAGTTCCTCTGCTCCCAGCCAGCCTTCTTTCCAAGGAGAGTTTTCTCAGAGGGTATTCTAGCCTCTGGTGAGGAGGGAAGTTCTCAGCTGGGCTTTAGCCTTCAGGGAAACTAGCATATATTTTCTCTTTTGTAATGTCCTCCACGTCAGGTTCTTCTCCCTGAGAGCTAGGAGGGTGTATGGGGGTGAGGGAGGGTGTTGCAGAGAGGGGCTGTAGTGTTCTCTCATACTTACATTGCTAATATAAAGGTGACATGTCAGGCTGCTCCTAGAATCTAGAACTGCTCATGTGAATACCAGGCCCATTCTGAGAGAAGGTAGGTCAGGGTTTCCCAACTTATACCATTATGATTTCTTATATTCATCCTCACACCAAAGGTACACATTTGAAAAAAGATTTGGTTTCTAACAAAATCGTTTTTTAGATTATCAAAGATACACAGTTATCTATATATACATCTAGCAATTATGTAACATGTATACATTTAATTCTAAGATAAACTTAGATGTAATTCTAAAATAACTCAGGAAATTTCACTTGCTCCAGGATCTGAAGAAGGGAAAAAATAAAAAGACCTAGAAAGAAGAAAAAGGAAGGAGTGGCTGTGAGCATTCCAGACTTGGTGCCTTGTGTCTTGGGTATGCCCCAATCTGCATTCTGTCCCACCAAAGCTAAGAGGCTGAGGGAAGAAGTAGGAAGTCTGACTTTAAAACAATACGCTTCCCTCCTCTTTTTTCCTCCAAACTAAGCTTACTTACCCTAATTTCAAATGGAAATTTTAGTCTTCAAAAGCAGGAAAGCATAGATCACAGAATGTCAGCACTGGAAAGGAGCTTAGATTTAAGCCAACTTCTTTATTTTTTAGATAAAGAAACTGAGGCCCAGAGAAGGAAAAGGACTTTTCTGAGGCCATATAATCACAGAACAGAGGCAGGAATTGAAGCCAACATTCCTGACTCATTTACTACTTTTGTGTTTTGCCTGGGGCATCTGCCTCCTATCCACCAAGTCAGCTCACACAGAAGTACTCATGGATCCCCAATCTTCCTGTCCCTTGCTTCTAACAGGTCCTAGGTTCCTCAAGTTCTACCCAGTACCTGGAAAGAGTCTGCTCCAGGAAGACAGCATTCTGGCTGACAGCATCCACTAGCAGGTTGAAGTCCATCTGCACAGCATAGGCCTGCTCCAGCAGGGCACAGGGGACCAGCGAGGGGAAGAGTGTGAAAGGGGCATAGCTCACCACCTGATCAACGAGAGACAGTAGGGTAGGAATGAATGGGGTGTCTTCCTGCAAAGGTAACCCCATGCAAAATCTGTCCTATGTTAATTGAGGATAAACCCATTTCAGGATAGTAGTTACCAACAGGAGTAGAAGGACAGAAGAAAGGTGAGGAAGGGGTACAAAGACAGCATTCAGTTTCTGTGACAATTTATCTCTACAAGTTTTTTAAAAATGAGCAAATCCACAACGAGATGCTGGTGGCTCACATTTGTAATCCTAGAAACACTGGAGGCTGAAATGTGAGGATCACAGTTAGGTCTTTTTTTTTTTTTTTTTTTGAACTCAGGGCCTGGGCTCTGTCCCTGAGCTTCTCTGGCTCCAGGCTAGCACTCTACCACTTGAGCCACAGCACCACTTCTGGCTTTTTCTGTTTATGTGGTACTGAGGAACCGAACCCAGGGCTTTGTGCATGCTAGGTAAGCACTCTGCCACAAAGCCACCTTCCCAGGCCAGGATCACAGTTCAAAGACAGTCTGGGCAGGCCAGAAGTGGAGCACAGCTCAAGAGGTAGAGCATTGAGTGAGAAAGCTAAGAAGCATTACCTTGAGTTCAAGTCCCAGAATGTACACACACACCCACACCCACACATCTACAAATGACTAAGCAGTTCCTGTGTGCAAAATGCCATTATTAAATACTTAAGATGGATTCATCACTTAACTCTATGAGGAAGATACCATATTATTCATACTTAAGAGTGAAATATGGGGGCTGGGAATGTGGCCTAGTGGTAGAGCGCTTGCCTAGCATGCATGAGACCCTGGGTTTGATTCTTGAGTACCACTTAAGCAGAAAAAGCTGAAAATGGAGCTGTGGTTCAAGTGGTAGAGTGTTAGCCTTGAGCACAGAGAGGCTCAGGGACAGAGCCCAGGCCTTGAGTTCAAGACCCAGGACTGGCAAAAAAAAAAAAGAATTATGAAGATTGGGGCTAACTGGCACCATCTTGGCACCTTGGCGGATGATAGGGACTTTCTGAAAACTCTTCAAGGTAAAATCCCCTGCCCAGACAGTCCACCCCCAGATGACAGGCTTGCCTGAATTCCTAGAAGCAGGGGTGGGGACTTAGACAACAGGTTCCTGGACCTGCCAGACTTGCACTATGAACTCAGGAGACTCTTTGAACTTTTGAACTCCTATGACCCTGCCTCGTGACTACGACCCTATTTAGGCCCCTCCACCCCTGCCAACTTCCATGCCTCATGTTTCCTGATTCCTCAGGGCACCGTGGCGTCCCTCTTCAACTCTCCATTAGAGTTGATCTGGTTTGAGATTTTTTTTCTCTCTTTCTTTACTGCCCTCATGGTTCAATTTCCTAACAGTATTAAGTGTATTGGAGGCTGCAAGTTTTTGAGGACATGTGTTTGCTCACAGTTACCAGCTTTCTAATAAAAAGTCTCCCAATTCAACCTCTGGTTTCTCTGTATCTCATGATCAAATTCTTTTTTTTTCTTTTGGTAGGTCATAGGGCTTGAACTCTGGGCCTGGGCACTACCCCTGAGCTCTTCAGCTCAAGGCTAGAGCTCTACCACTTGAGCACAGCACCACTTCTGGTTTTCTGAGTGGTTTATTGAAGATAAAGAGTTTCACAGACTTTCTTGCCCAGGCTGGCTTTGAACTGCAATCCTTGGATCTCAGCCTCCTAAGTAGCTAGGATTACAGGCTTGAGCCACTGGCACCTGGCTCTCACGATCAAATTCTTGTGTAACAAGAGATACAAGTGGGCACTGGTGGGTCACACCTAGCTACTTAGTAGGCTGAGATCTGAGAATCAAGGTTTGAAGCCAGCCTAGTCTATGAGACTCTTATTTCCAGTTAACACCAGAAAACAGGAAATGGCACTGTGGCTCAAAGTGGTAGAGCACTAGTCTTAAGCAAAAAGCTCAGGGACAGCGCTCAGACCTGGAGTTCAAGCCCCATGACTGACCAAAAGGGGAGGGAGGGGGAAGGGGAAGAGGGAGCAGAGAGACCCTACACAGAGATTAAGTAATAGGTCTAAAAGTATATTTGGCTGGTAAGGAGTGCTGGGATTATCAATCAGGATGGTGATTAAACCCTATCAACACAATCCACACCCACACCTCCAGATATGAGCTCATATCTGGTTGATATTCATGCCCAGGCCTTTACCCGTGTCAGAACCTCACACTCCAGCTCTCTGGCCTTCTGGTTTGGGTAAAGGAAAATCCTGCTGGTAGGACTGCAGCAGAAGTGAACTCTGCCCCTGAGTAGAAAACGGGAGTGGCTCCCACTTAGTACTTGAGATGGTAACTCAGGTTAGCAGGCTTGGAATTTAGCTGCATTTTGAGTTCTTTGGACTTTGATATAGTCAAGTTTCTAGAAGGGGAGGAAAATGCATTCTGAGATTCCCAACAACAAATGGACTAGAACTTGGTTAAGAGATAGTAAGACCTTGAAAGGTTCAAACAGTCCTGATTGAACTTTCAAGTAAGTATCAGTTTGCCATTACAGAAGTGAACTATGAGTGTACAGTGTTAGACTTTAGCGTTGGTGCATACCTGTAATCCCAGCACTTGGCAGGATGAGGCAAGAGGATCATGAGTTCAGGTCAGCCTAGGCTGTACAAGACTTTATCTCAAAAGAAAAAAATGAAGAAAGGAAGGGAGGGAGGGAGGACAGGAGAGGAAGGAGGGAACTTGGCTGTACACACACACACACAC